GTGCCCTGGATTAGACTGTACCCTGGATTAGACTGTACCCTGGATTAGACTGTACCCTGGATTAGACTGTGCCCTGGATTAGACTGTACCCTGGATTAGACTGTGCCCTGGATTAGACTGTGCCCTGGATTAGACTGTACCCTGGATTAGACTGTACCCTGGATTAGACTGTACCCTGGATTAGACCGTACCCTGGATTAGACCGTACCCTGGATTAGACCGTACCCTGAATAGACCTGGATTAGACCGTACCCTGAATAGACCGTACCCTGAATTAGACTGTACCCTGAATTAGACTGCACCCTTGATTAGACCGTACCCTGGATCAGACTACACCCTGGATCAGACCTGAATTAGACTGGACCCTGAATTAGACTGTACCTTGGGTTAGACCGTACCCTGGATTAGACCGTACCCTGGATTAGACTGTACCCTGGATTAGACTGTACCCTGGATTAGACTGTACCCTGGATTCGACTGTACCCTGGATTAGACCGTATCCTGGACTAGACTGTACCCTGGATCAGACTATACCCTGGATTAGACTATGCCCTGGATTAAACTATACCCTGGATTAGACTGTACCCTGGATTAGACTGTACCCTGGATTGAACTATACCCTGGACTAGTCCGTACCCTGGATCAGACTATACCCTGGTTTAACGTACATCTTTCTCACAGGTAAGTATGAAAATATGGTTTCACAAACATTTCCATCCCTTTAGATAATAAAAACTGTCTCTGTTAAYAAAGTTGACCTGAATGTTTGAAGGWAACATGTTATAAAATCAGCCCTAAGCCACGCTCGGACCTGGAATCATTACATTTCATGAGTCATGGTCCAGTTCCCACAGGAAGTCGGCCATTTTGGATCAAAGCTGTCAGTTTGTRTCTAGTCTTGCACGTATATCTGAGCTAACTCCTCCTCCAGCTCTGAACCTGCAGACGTCACATGCTGCGTCTCTCAGCACTGATTGGTGGAGGGGTGGTGTGGGCGTGGCTCTACACATCTGTAGTTAGGGATGATGTACAGACTGCAGGTCTGTGATTCCATCAAACCTAACAGCTCCSTCCTGTTTTAGTTTTGTTTCAGGTCATCAGCAGAAATGATGACGTCTGGTTTATTATTAACGTTCCTCACTGTTTGTTCAGCTCAGCACAGAGGCTCTAATGAACAAAGCTGACAGCCGAAGGTTTGACGGCTCTCTGTGATAATCTGCAGCTGGGTGTTTCCTCCAACCAGCACATCTTAATTTAATCCCAATCTGACGTCAGCAACTTAAAACTGAACCCTTTCAGGTTGAAGGTTTGAAAACTGAAGCTAAAATAAGGTGTTTRTTTTTGTTGTTTTTGCAGTCGTTCACTCTGACCAGGAAGAGGATCGTTCACTACACCAGCTTCGACCAGAGGAAGAGGTCCAAYGCTGCGGTTCTGATCGGAGGCTACGCCGTGAGTCTCTCTTATTACAGCTGTGATGCTAAACTAAACAATATTTATTCTATTTCAACAGTTCAAACGTCAAAACGTTCAGCTCGTTTATGACAATCCTGCTRTGACTTTTAGTGTTTCAGCCGTTTATACTTTTTTAGCTGYTTCACTTTTTYGGCCACTTTTTGTCATTGAAAATGAGTGGAGCTGTTTTTAACCTCCTTAACATCCCTCAAAATGTTTAAATCTTTACAGAACCTTACACGTTTTGTTCTGCTTCTGCTTATATTAATTTCCTTGTGCTAATTATAGCTACTTTATGCTAATTTTAGCTTTTTCTACTTTTTTAGCTATAATTCTTTTTGCTATTTTGAGCTGTTTCTGCTTCTTATAGTAGCTTTCTGCTATATCCAGCTATTTGCAGCAGCCTTTGCTAATATGTAGCTGTTATTAGCTAAAGTTAGCTTGTGTAGGCTAAATTCACATTTCAGTGACTATTTCAGCTTCTTTYTGCTTAGTTCAGCTTCTGCTCCTTATGCTTCCTTGTGCTAATTTAAGATTTTCTAGCCACATTTTGGCTATTTTACTGCACATTTTAGCTGTTTTACTGCACATTTTAGCTGTTTTACTGCACATTTTAGGTATTTTACTGCACATTTTGGCTGTTTTACTGCACATTTTAGCTGTTTTACTGCACATTTTAGCTGTTTTACTGCACATTTTGGCTGTTTTCTTGCACATTTTGGCGGTTCTACTGCACATTTTGGCTGCTTTACTGTACATTTTAGCTGTTTTATTGCCTATTTTGCCTGTTCTACTGTGCATTTTGGCTGTTTTACTGCGCATTTTAGCTGTTTTATTGCGCATTTTAGCTGTTTTATTGCCTATTTTGCCTGTTCTACTGTGCATTTTAGCTGTTTTACTGCATATTTGGGCTGTTTTAACACACATTTTTGTTGTTTTACTTAATGTTTTTCTTACTAATTAGACATTTTTAAACCTTTTTTTTATCATCTGGGTGTTAATTTCAACTTGTCTGCTACCTTTAGCWTTTTGTTTAGCTATTATTTTGCTTTTCTATTCTTCTGCCTTTTTGTGTTTCTTTCAGCTTTTCWAATTGAACTGGCATTAACAGTTTTGCTATGAAACATTTTCAGCTGGTTTTCAGCTGTTTTTATCCTCCTGAGGGTCAGACACTTGAATCTTCCTGTTTCTTTATGAGCTTAAAGAACAGCTGAAGCTTCGGCTGCTGTGGTTCCGGGTTGAAGCTCTACGTGCTGAAATGTGTGGAGCTGTTAAAAGCAGAGGCTGCAGCGCAGCGTCTCCCGCTGTGTTTGTTGAATATTTGATGTTGTTGAAGCCGCAGAAACAAAAGTGGATTGTTTCAGAGACACAATCAGTCCTCTTCACACACCGAGGACTCACAACAATGAGTGTTTTCACTTTTAAAGACATGAAAGTGGACCTGCTGCCTGTGGGCTGGTCTCAGGTCAGCTGGGAAACATTAGTTTGTTACAGGTTGTGTTTGTAGAGCAGCTCCTCACTCTCTGATCAGGYTGTACAACACCTGAGCTGAGGGCTGAGTGACATCATCTCTGTTCATCTCAGGTGATCTACCTGAAGAGAAGTCCAGAAGAAGCCTACAGAGCTCTGATCTCTGGCTCCAACGCCTCCTACCTGCCTTTCAGGTCAGTCTGTCACAATTCCTCTCATTCATTCATACCTTCAGTTATGACTTTTCCTTCCTGCAGCTGTTGTTGTTCAAGCCCCGCCCCCTGAGGCTGAACATGTTTACAAAACTGTTTCAGTTCAAACAGCGTCAGAAAACTCAGGTGTTGTTTTCTAAACTTCATCCTCAACGTTCCAGATCAGAGCTGCTTAGAAATGTTCATAAAACCCTGATAAATCCCCCCTTCCTGCAGGAAGAAATAAACAGAAACTCCCTGACTGAGCTTAATAATAATAATAATAATAATAACAATAACAATAATAATAAAACAACAACAA